TATTTCACTTTTAAAAATGATAAACTTGCCATTTATGAAATCCAGACGGGCAAGCCAATTGAATGAGTAATTTTGTGATATAGATAAATTTACTGTAAAAGCAGAAATCAAAATTAACAATTTTCTTTAACTGCTGTGACAGACATCAAAAAACAAAGTAAACCAGCCTCAAAACAAATCAATAACCGTCATCACCCAATAAAATCTAATATAATCATTTGGGTTTTTTTCTTTGTGCGTGTGGTGGGGGGGGTGAGGGGAGGGGAGTATTGGAAGAGATAGCACAAAATCATTTCTAGAGCAGCATTTATGAAATACCATGTCCCCTTGACTTCTTCAAGTAATTTGGCAGAATTTATATGTTGAAATTCTGGAGTAAAAAGAAGTGAAAAATATATTCAACAAGTTAAAGCTTATTTTCTACTTGAAAAAAGGAATATCAATTTTGGATGAACCAGTATAAAAATCTTATTATTAGCACACATGTTTAAGAAAATGAGCCTTTTTCGGGTAAGAATCAAATAAGATAAACTTAACAGCAACAAAACTGAGGATTGGAAACAAAAGTAATTTTTTGTGTAAGCATAATGTCCTTCTCAATTCTCTAAAAGCTCCCACAAACACACACACTCACACGCACACAAAAACCACACTATTAGCATCATGAAATATAATAACTAATCAGGATGGCACTAGTACCCGCAGACGAGCAACCTCTCCCACTTGCATTCCCATTACACCTTCATCCCATCCTGCATAACATTTGGTGAATAAATTATCCAAATTCATTTAAAGGAGAGTCAGCATGCAAACAAAATAAGAAGTAACAGGGTAAATATTAAATAAAATACACTACCATTATCCTGCAAAATGAAAAAAAAAAAAGTTCTTTCTTTGAAAAAGTACGAACTTTGAACTCTCAGCATGACATTAACAAATAAATTAATCATATAACAACCTTTAATAACAGAGCCTTTCCCAATCTGGAAGGTGAAAGGCTTCTGACCAGCATCCTTGGTGCTAAAAGAGAAAACAACAGATTAGAAAAGTTCAACCTTCATACATGAAAGCTTAGAAGAAAGATATGGTGATTTTCAAGTTGAGAAGTCCCAGATCTATTGAAAAGACAACAAGAAGATGCTCACCTCCAAAATTTTTTAGATAAATCACCATTTTTACCTGCAACAAAAAAGTCAGAACAAATAAAAATTTTATTTTTTTGAAAAAAGAGTAAGCTCTTTTCAATTCCGACCAAATGAGAGTAAGAATGAGTGTCTGCCTCGTGTCATTATCACAGTCAATTTTACATGTAAGTACGAGTGTAGAATCTCTAAAGTGCTGATCATTGTCATTGATCAGTACGCGCGAATGAAAATCACGAGTTGGGAAGGTAGACTAAGACAACATAAGGTGGGATACCAAATAAAAATGTGTTTGTTTTTATCCTTTTACATCTCAAGTAATTAATGAAATATTGTGAAAGA